TAGTTTCCTTATTACAGTTGTTTGGTTTAGTTGAAAATGAAAGCAATTGGTACTTTGATACAGCGAAGAGATGGCCGGCACTTGGTAGAGGTTATAATACTGGAGTAATGTTGCTGGATTTAAATAAAATACGTAATAAAATCAACTGGACGAAAGTATGGCATAGTGCGGTTAATGAGAATATAGAACTATTGAAACAGACAACTTTAGCGGACCAAGATGTAATAAATGCGATTATTAAAAAGGATCCAATACTCGTTTATAATATTAGCTGTCAATATAATGTTCAAATGTCAACGAAGACTTTAGCTAAAGGCTGTTACGGTGAAGATAGAAATAATATCAAGGTAAGACCCATTTGCATAGTAATTGGGATTTCTAATTTTAGTTCACTTTCTCTTAGTACCATTTTCTTATTTAGAAAGCATGGGGAGGGGATTTGACAGAAGAAGGGACGCATAGGATGGAAAAATAACCTTTCTGTGCACTTCCTCTGTCGATTAAAAGTATTTAAGCAACGGTTATTTGGTGAATTCATGTGGCCTTTTGCTCGTTTAAGAATACTTAAAATATTCTAGTGCTTTTAGTCTTATTATTATTCATACTATAAACAATTGTGTGTTCTATGATATTATCAGATTCAAATATTTTGTTTGTATAATTTATTTCTTATAACAATGGTCAAAACAAAGTAATCTTTTGTGCTATTCTTTGAAAATTTTTGAAATAATAAAAGAAACTAGAAATTATTATATCTTTATCTCTATCTTTAGAATCGTTTAAATACTATTGCCAATAAGATGATCGCCTAAACAGCAGACATTTTTTTGAATTAGGAATACTTATTCATCTACAAAATTGTTAATAATTTTTTTTTCAGATAATCCATTGGAATTCTCCGAGTAAATACAACATCAGGATACGAGATGCGGACTATTTTAAAAATATTCACTTATCATATGTTAATTTTGATGGTAACTTGCTAAGACAGAAACTACATACATGCTCGCAAACTGAACCTGTTACATATAAGGTAAATTGTTATATATTTGCGATTCCAATATGTATAATGCGATGAGTAATTCTTACTTATCCTTACTAATATTATAAATGTGAAAGTAACTCTGTATGTTCTTCTTTCACGTAAAAACTATTGAACTGATTTAAATAAAATTTGGTATACAGGTAGTCTAGACCCCGGGGAAGGATATAGGTTACTTTTTAACGCGAAAAAATGGTTGTAAGGGGTTGAAAGTGGGGGTGGAAATTTGTATGGAAATATTGTCATTTTTACATATAGAAGCTTGAAATTTATTTGTTAGGCTGTTAATTTTATATATTATAAATAAATATTATATCTAATTTTACCCTCAAGGGTGCAAAATATTAATAGGGCAATGAAATTTTCTATTGGAATTAAATTTGATATTATGCTAAGGCCATTCAAAAAAAATATTCCTAGCTTCTCAATCTGTATGTAATTTATACTGCAAATATATATTTATTTTTTTCAGATAAATTATTCAGATCTATGCAGCAGCTTCCGCGCTGCGCAACGAGTTAAGTTACG